AAGTTCTGTAAACTTTGTAAAACGCCCAGTGTTTCATTTCCACGCCATTTTTTCTTTGTATTGTTTCTTCTCTGAGCGAATTGGGTGTAGAAGGGCATGAAGGTTATTAGCCATAGGGTGAGTATTCTTGTCAAAGCGGGGAGAAATTTTCTGAGGAGGGTGAACCAGTTCGTGCAAAAAGTGGTTTGGAAACGAATCTAGCCATGAAAGGGTTCACATAGGGTTACACAGTGCCTTCCCTAATCGGAACTCGGTGGATTTCTCAGGGATTCGCCCGGTAATGCGCTATTGCTCCTGATTCAACTCTTTCGCTCTGTGCCATGTCTAATCATTGCATACCTCTCCTATAACATACTCAGAGTTTCAGAAAGAGTTTTCTAACCGGAATTCAGAAGAGGAAGAATGAAAAGAAAAAGAGTGGACAGAAAAGTTGACGACGTAAGCGGTAAGTTACCGTGACATCTTTTTCGTTTATATCACCTAGGATACCTATTCATTTCGCTCACCACTATGGTGCGCTCGTTCATACTTTGCGGGGCGAGCGCTTTAGAGGTTACTAACAATAAGGCAGCGGTAAGACTTCGCGACGGCTACGCTTCGCGCGTTCCACGCGTCGACGCAGTCGGAAACATGCGCATCGATCGCGCCGAACGCTTCCTGACAACGCGCTCTACCGCGAACCATTGGACCACAGGAAGGAGTTTTAGCCTCAATGCGACTAAATTAGCACTCAAATTAGCGCTGATTAGCGGTGGAGCGCGGCTAGTAGCAGTCGCGCATCCCTAAATCGCTCCACTGAATGTTTCGAGTCGCAAAATATGCCCAGTTCTTGCTTGTGATCTGTGCTTCACGGGCATTGAGCAACTCCATAGTCTGAATATAATCCCCTCGATCTATTCACAGTTGTTGGGTGCTCTGCTTTAACAAGGAAGGCACCAAATCTGGGCGCTCACTTCCTAAATTGCCTTCATTTGTTGCTATGAAATAGTCCAGGTAGGCCCATCAGTTTGAAAAGCTCCAAGATGAAATCTCACTTACTTCGTGTCGAACAATTAATTTGAATCAGTGTTGATCATATCCGGATCCCTTCTTATCTACAAGGCCTATCTACTCACTGGAACTCTGATTTGTACCATCCGGCTTCTGCCTATCACCCCCTCATTGAAATCCTCGGGTCGGCGCCAGTGACTTCTCTATTCGTCGATCCTGCGAGTCGGAATAGTTCAGTGGATTCTAGTAGTCAGCACAGTCCACATTTTGCGCAGAACATTGAACTGAAAGAAAAGGAGCGGCCTTGGTGTCGGATAGTAAACTTGGCTGGAAGGCGTGCGGTGCAGGTTCGAGTCCTGCCCGCGGTCAAGATTTTTGCCCATGTCTCATTATTGCTGCGATGATGCTTTGTGCTGAAGGCGTCTGGATGACCAGAGTTTTAACTGTATGGCATGTGCTCATCCTGATATTGGCCTAATTTCCCAGCATCGCCCGATCCCATTGCGTGCCTGGCCAGCATGATTTTCTGGACAGCAGTGGCAATGGTTTTCTATCAAGAGGATCATTCAAAATATAACTAGTCTTAGTCCGCTGCGTTGTGCTGGGTCTTGTCAGAGGGAAGGGTTTGGCGTCCGTTTGCCACCAATTGTTGTCACTTGCCCGCTTCAACAATTGGTGGGGAACGGGCCGGCATCTGCTGTCACCCCCTACCCCCTCCCCCCCGCCTAGCATACGCAGCGAATAACGACTGTTTAGCGCGTATGGCGGCATTAAAATTACGTTTCGCAATCACTTATAATAGTCGAAGCCCATAGTGGGGAAAGTAGCGGGGATCACAATTAATGATCGTGTACAATTTTCCCACAATATCAAATGTCTGTCACAAAGTTGTGAGTCGTTCGCGACAATGGAAGACTGTACGCTAACCCGCTAAGAGGGCTGTGGTCTGCTGCGGCGCTGGAGGGAGGTGACACCCGGTTGCCACCTCCCGATTCCAGTTTCAAGGCGCAACACTTGCGTTACTACCAAATCAGGCAAGGAACACACGGTCAGACGTAAAGAACAATTAAACGTCAAAGGGCGCGGGTAAGTAGCGCGTGTGGCTATTACTAGGCAGCGTTCAGACTTCGCGACGGCAGCGCTTCGGTCGCGCGTTCAACGCGATCGATGCAGTCGAAAGCATGCGCATCGATCGCGTCGAATGCGCGACCGAAGCGCTGCAGTCGCGAAGTCTGAACGCTGCCTTAGACATTTAAAGGGCCGTGTGGCGGCGCGGGCGGGGTTTAGAGATGGCAGCCGGTATCAATACCCCTGAGTCCAGTCCTGTGCTTTTTGAGATCGGAGAAAGTTTCACGCTACTGCAGCTGCCTATCCATATACTTCGCACATTGCAAAGACCAGAATCTTCGGAGGTGAGTGTTCACTTTGTCTTCAGGGGGCAAGATTGCTCAGATAAGCTCGCCAAGACGCCAGGGACCACCCGTGGTGGTGTCAATAGTCTAGCCTCATGCTCGAATTTTTAATAACTTTTTATTATTCACTCGAAATAAGGGACTCCTTGCTGAGGCCATTTCCGGTGGCTTTCTCTGCTTTTTTTCTTTCTTCACAAACAAGTCGACAAGTAGTCTTCTTGGTTTCCCACTTCCGCCTGATTAAGAGCTTTTCTACAGCTCTCTCTGACTCTCCATGAAGTTCTCTTTAATTTAATAATAATAATGAGGCTTGGCTTTTGTTCTAAGCATGTAAATTTTTATAATGACAATAATCTTTCAGATCGCAAGACCAGCAAATCCACTTCCGGCGAGCCACGAACTCCCTCAGACACTCCCACAGAGGTAAGTATATATAAGCTTCTTAGAGGGATACTCCTTCAGCTTTCTCCCAAGGGCACGGTAACTGTTTACGCGCGAGTACTGGGCGGGCTGACTTTGCATTTCGGCATAAAATGCAGGCGAACACCCACTAATCATGGACATGTAATGGTGCTAGTTGCTAGTAGTTCAAAGTGGCCGCACGGCAGCGCCTATGCTTCTGTTCCGCTAAGGCTCAGGTTTAGAGCGCAGAATACCAGAGTCGCATAAAAATGGCGCAGATATATAAGCTGCCGTCAAAATATTAAGGTATGGGCAAAAATGTGGCGGACCAGGAGATGGGCTTCTTGCAAATAAAAAGGATTCGTGGATGGGGAGACTTCTACTATAAGTGAGAAGTCATGATGTGTGTGGAAGCAGAGACGAGAGAGCGCATTAAGGACCAGAAAAAATAAGTAGTTCGTGGCGACTGTAATCGTCTGCGCCCTAAGCCTAGCCCCGATAGAAGACAATAGCGTCCAGGAGTACGGTATCGTGTAGTAGTACGGTGCGGTTGCACACGCCACAATTTCGCGACGCCTAATCCAGCCGTCTTCTCCCTATTGGTTCCCCATGCAGTCTGCTACCCTCCTACTCCTGGTGGCTGGTGGACGCTGCTATACGCTGCCGTTCGCCAGATTGAGATCTATACTCTCCTAGTCGCTCACGGACGCTCGAAACGCTGATGGTCGCTGATGACGTGGTAGTCGCTGGTGGAGGCTGCCGTAAAGTATGGCCGCAGCTATACGCATAGGCGCTGTTGCGTGGCCAGCATAAGTACGGTGGCACCCGTCCAGTCTGTAAAAACGTGACCCTGTCACTCTATGGCAGACCACCTCCTCCTTTCCTTCCGTTCCCACTCGATGGCAGTTTTTGTGGAAAGTGGATAATTTTTGGAAGAGTGGTAGGAAGTTGAGATAGGTTTCGAACATGCTGGGTAGGATGGGAGATGGCGATGAGGGGGAATGGCACTAGAAGGAGGAAATCCCGAGGGAAGAGGCTCGTCTGAGGGTTTGTTGTTCAATTTATGTGATCAGGAAACCTTCCAATCCTCGAACGGCAAACCCTTAGGCAAAACCTATTCTTTCGATTGCTCTGAAAGTCCAACTGTTTCAGGGGATTTTTCCCTGGAATCGGCTGCCACGGGAGTTGCAGATAAAAACCCTTCAGTATCTTCCTCGCCATGATCTTGAAAAATGTCGACTGCTGAATCGCGAGATGTTTGAAATTGTTCAACACAAC